AATTGTACAATGCAATTATAAATGTGAAAAATAAACTGGACTACGTTTCCCCTGGAAGTCCCACATACTGGCCAACAGACTCACGAAAGCTCCCAGACCTTATTGATTTTGCAGTGACAAAAAACATACCTCGCAATCTAATAAGTGCCAAAGCAGTCTCGGACTTATCATCAGACCACTCGCCTGTGCTTCTAACGCTTCTTCAAAGCCCAGAAATAACCGAACACCCCTTCAGTCTGACGACGACAAAAACAAACTGGCTAAAATACAAAAAGTACGTGAGTGCCCACATAGAACTCGCCCCGGATTTTAACATGGAATCGGACATCGACTACACTACGAGCGCCCTGGAAGAAGTACTCGTTGCGGCAGCTAAAATCTCTACTCCTCATAGGAAAGAAGTAGACGTGCGAGAAAAGAGGCGCACGCGTCGTGATTGGCAAAACAGCAGATCACCAGCTTCAAAACAACGCCTTAAGGAAGCAACCCGATCACTCGACCAGGCTCTTCACCAACAGGAAGAAAATGCACAGCTGAGGTACATCCAGAATCTCTCGCCAACAAGCACAAATTACCCCATGGGGAGGGCCCACCCAAATCTTAGTGCCCCAATTGAAACGACCACCCCGATAAGAAACTCTTCGGGATGCTGGGCTCGCAGCAACGAAGACCGAGCTGAAACTATTTATTCTAACAAATTTATTCCTCCTGCCAGTAATTCAGCCAGAGTCCTCCCCTCAGCCAGCCGCACCTCCATTCCGGCCGAACGAAATCGAAAAAGTCATAAGAGGGCTAAAACCAAAAAAGGCTCCCGGTGGTGACCTATTGACCCCAAAGATGCTGATCGAACTTCCAAAATGCGCTATAGAGGTCGTCTGCAAACTATTTAATGGAATCATTAATCTTGGCTATTTCCCAAAAAAGTGGAAGAAATCCATTATTATAATGATACCGAAGCCTGGAAAAGACCACACAATTCCGTCATCATACAGACCAATAAGCCTTCTATCTAGTTTGTCTAAACTGTTTGAAAAATGCTTGTTAAGGATGTAGACTCATGTTCCGGCCTACTTTTTAGAGGTTATTTCAAAAATTTTTTTTTGTAATAAAAAATAATGCGTTCGTTCCAATTTTCACATATGTTTTTATAGGCATCATAAACTATTTGAAAAAATTTTGTTTAATTTATTCTTGTGTAGTTTAATACACTATAGCATGCCAAAGTATGCATATAAAAAAAAAGGTAGGTCCCTGGCGCAGGTGATTTCGACTGCTAGAGTCATCCGAAAGAAAAAATTAGAATAGATTATTGTTTTGTAAGCTTATGGCTCTGTCCCGTACTAGAATGAAATATTTTCATCAATAAACAACAAAATGGCGAACTCACAAAAAAAAAAATTTTAAAAAATTTAAAAAATTTATCTTAAATTAATGATAAAAAAAAAACTAATCATTAAAAATAAATGATTCTAGTACGGGACAGAGGTGTTACTTTTTAGAACAACATATCCAAATTTCAGCTAGATCGGTACCATAGAATTTTGTGAATCACCTGCGCCGCACACAAAAATGTCGTTCCGAGAAAAACGCGTTTAAAGTATAGACGCTACCGAGAAACTCATACTTTTCGGTGTAGGCGCGCTCTCGATTATGGGCTGTATCTCTGTCATTATTTGATATTTTTATTTGAAACTTTAACAGTACATTCTTAATAAACAATACTATCGAAATGTGTGAAAAAAAAAAATCGATTTTTTCAACCTCACACATGAGACTACATCCTTAACTCGCATAATACCATATCTGGAAGCTTGCAATATCATCCCGGCACACCAATTTGGCTTTCGAAGAAACCATGGAACCATCGAACAAGTGAACAGATTAACATCCGAAATACGCTCAGCCTTCGAACAACGAGAATACTGCAGCGCTATTTTCCTCGACGTATCTCAAGCTTTCGACCGAGTTTGGCTCATCGGACTCATGCACAAAATTAAAACGTATTTGCCAACATACACCCACAAGCTACTGGAATCATACCTCTTCAATAGGGTATTCTCAGTGAGATGCAACGCAGCTACTTCGGGCGACTACACCATCGAAGCTGGAGTTCCACAGGGAAGCGCACTCGGGCCGTGTCTATATGTTTTGTATACTGCGGATATTCCTACGAGCGCACAACTAACAACGTCAACGTTCGCCGATGATACCGCTATTCTTAGTCGCTCCAGATGCCCAACGCAGGCAACAACCCAACTGGCTAATCATCTCACAATAGTGGAAAGGTGGCTGTCCGACTGGCGCATTAAAATAAACGAACAAAAGTGTAAACATATAACGTTTACTCTTAATAGACAAACATGCCCTCCGCTTTTACTAAACGGTATGCAGATCCCTCAAGCTAACGACATAACGTACCTTGGCGTTCACCTTGATAGACGACTTACCTGGCGTAAGCACATCGAATGCAAAAAGATGCATCTAAAACTGAAAGCCAGCAGCCTCCACTGGATCATAAACTCACGATCGCCACTGTGCCTGGACTACAAGTTACTACTGTACAATTCAGTCCTAAAGCCAATCTGGACGTATGGCTCCCAGCTGTGGGGGAACGCGAGCAGCAGCAACATAGACATCATACAGCGCGCACAATCAAAAATCTTGAGAACTATCACAGGGGCACCTTGGTATGTTCGCAACGAAAACATCCACCGAACATCCATTCAATTACAAATGCAACAGCAGCAGCAGCTGCGTCAACGACAGCAGCAGCAACAACAACAACAACAACTGCAAAATCATACAACACAAAATGATACTAATCCAAATGACAAGATTAATATTAAAAATAACAATAACAATACTAATATTAATAGCAATAAAAGAGATAGCATAAAAATCATATTTTCACCAAACTCTTCAGTTTCCGATTCGGAAACAAATGAATATGATAATAATAATATTAAGAAGAAGCAAAAACAAAAACAAAAATCAGTTCATAATACAGAAACCAATGATATGGCTGCCCAATTAATGGACATATTGGATGTAGATCAATTGGGTGGCTTGCTCGATGAGCTGCACCAATTGAGAACTGAAAATACAATATTGAAAAGCCAATTAAATGAAAATGATAATAATGATAATATCAATAATGATAATATACATAAATCAATTATAACATCCAACATGCCCATTATTAGGAAACGTATACATAATAAATCAAATGATTCAGATGAGGACTTTCCTCAGTTAATAAAAAATCAAAAATAAAAACGCCATCGCCGCCACCGCCATCGTCATCGTCGTTGTCGCCGTTGGGTCGTCATCGACAGCAACAGCGACAGCAGCACCAGCAGCAGCATCATCATCGTCATCAATCAATCACCAATAATTATTACCGTGATTTGGTGATGGATGTTGTTGAGGATGATGATGATGATGACGTTGCCGATGATGATTTAAATATAAATGATAGCTCCTGCAGTAATAATGCACTCGGCGTTGGCATTGGCGACGATGACAACAATGATAAAACTGATGCTGATGTTGATGATGATGGGGGAATTGATTTGGCAATGGGCCCATCAACATCAACAGCAGCAGCAGCAGCAGCAGCAGCAGCATCATCCAAATCTGCTAAATCTAAACAAAATAAAAAGAATAATAATAAAAAATCTAAAAATAATACTAATCTCAACACTAACATTAATAATAATAATATTAAGAATAAGAAAAATAATTCATCTACAACAACAACAATACCTGCCATAGCTGCTAAAACAGTAACAACAGCAACAACTCCAACAACAGCAACAGCTGCTGTAAATATAAATAGGAAAAATATTAAACCACCAATAATAGTAAGCTATAATCAAAATTTAAAAATTCTCAATACACAAATAGCAAACAAATTGAAACATAACAATTTCCTACTAAATATGATTAATAAAAATATCATAAATATACAAACAAATACATTTAACGATTCTGATTTAATAATTAATATGTTAAAAACTAATAATATTAAACATTTCACATTTACCCCAAAACATCTCAAACCCTATAATCTGATAATTAAAAAATTACCATCTAACATCTATAATGCAGATGACATAACGATGGCTTTAAAACAAAAAATTAACAATATAAATATTACCAAATTGGTTGAATATAAGAATAATTTATGGCAACTTCAAGTGGCCAAAACAATTGATATCCAGCAAATTGTAAATATCAATTGTTTGCTCAATTGCCGCATCAGCATTGAACAATTTAAACCAAATCCCAAAGATATACTACAATGCCATAAATGCCAACGTTTTACACATGTGGCCGCCAATTGCAACATAGCATACAGATGTGTTAAATGTGCCGAAGAGCATCTACCTGGCGAATGTAAAATTCAATTAAATTTAAATTCTAATGATAACAACAATGCTGAGCAAATGCAATTGACCAAACAATTGATAGTCTGTATCAATTGCAAAGGTAATCATACGGCCAATGCCAGAATTTGCCCAATAAGGCAACAACTAATCATGAAAAGGCAAAAAGCTAAAGAATTAAAAGAGGCTAAAAATATAAATAATAGCAAAATAAATCGTACCATTAAACATTATGCAAATATACAATCTAATATATCGTTTGCATCATTATTTAAACAGCAACAACAGCAATCATCATCATCACTGTTGAGGTCGGGGCGAGGTTGGTGCACGATTCTTTAAGCAAACATCGATTTAGTTGTTCTTTCCTTTATTCAAATCAAATGCTGGGCGCGCGAGCTAAAAACTTCGTCGTTTTCCCTCGCCTCGTTAGCTTCACCTAGCGATCGCAAACGCCTCGTTCTTACGCCATTTTTTCATCTATCGATAAGCTTCCGTCTAGCATTTTTCAGAACTTATTCTAAACATTATTCAACACTAATATTAACGATTTAAACTTAAGTCTATGACGGCGGTAACATTCCCTCCCCCGTAATTGATCCCGATCCGTGGTCAGTTACCATTCTCCAAGCCGACGTCCAGAACTGCTACCATTGTTGCTGGTCTTTCTATAGCGCCATGCTGCGTCTTGATTGTCACCCGCCGAACTTGTCCATCGTTGGCCATCACTGCGTCAGTCACGCGTCCTTTTAGCCACAGGTTCCTGGGAAGAAGCTCATCCACGACTACGACGATGCTCCCGATGGTGATTGGAGGCACCTTCTCAAACCATTTGGTGCGCCTGGTTAATACGGGTGCATACTCCTTAACCCATCGTTGCCAAAAGCGGTCCCCGAAGCGCTGAGTCTCGTTCCATCTACGCTTCAGATTCATTCCCTCTTTCGGCAGCGGCTTGTATCCGTTCGCTGATCCTAGCAGCAGGTGGTTTGGAGTTAGGGCGGCGTCATCCTCTGAATCCAAACTTACAAACGTGAGAGGTCGCGAGTTGATGATAAATTGCGCCTCCATCAGTGCGTTTCTCAACCCCTCGTCGTTGAAAGAGTAACTTGGGCAAATGTTCTTCAAGATTCCTTTCGTTGTCCTGACGAGTCTCTCCCATGCTCCACCCATGTGCGGTGCTCCTGGTGGGTTGAATCGCCACTTTATGCCGTCGAACTTAATAGTGATCTTATCGTGCTCGATCTTTTTCAGCTCCTCGCGCACGGCTTTTTCCGTGGCTCTGAAATTCGTACCGTTGTCTGAGAATATTTCCCTCGGTGTCCCTCGAAGGGCCATAAAATTGGCTAGGCACATGATACATGAACTAGTATCTAGACTGTAGGCGATCTCAAAATGCACCGCGCGCAACGTAAGACAGGTGAACAGAGCTACCCATCTCTTCTCTTTGCGCCGGCCGACGTTCACCAACAACGGGCCAAAATAGTCGACGCCTGTATAGGTGAACGGCCTCTCGAAGCTTCCAACTCTTGCCCTCGGGATCGGTGCCATCTGGGGTGGTCTGGGGACCGCTCTGTCGATCTTGCATCGTTGGCATGTGTTTCGCACAGATTTGTGCAGTACTCGTAGCCGGCTGATATAAAACGAATTTTTGATGTCGTTTATTACAGTCTCATGAGCGAGGTGGTGGTACTTTTCGTGGAAGCTTCTAACTATGAGGTTGGTTATTCGGCATTCTGGAGCTAGTATGATGGCGTCCTCAGCTATGTCAACCGCGTTCAATCTGCCTCTAGTTCGTAGTACTCCATCGTTGCCCAGGTACGCGTTCAATCCGGCCAATCTGCTTCCCTTGAGGAGCGCCGGTCCCGCGGATAACGTTTTCATTTCTGCGGCGAAGGCGATGGCTTGAGATTGTTTATATAGCAGCATCTTTGCCTTACTAACATGAGCCGTTGTCGTGGTTTTTGGCATATCTTGTCCGGCACATTTCGCCCGCAGCCGATCGATGAACAGGATTACTAGCTCCACTGCTCTGTATAACCGCCGCCAATTTGAGAAATCGTGCGCGTTAAACATAACCACTGATTTCGTATGCGTCGTCATCACATGTTTCCGGATCTCCGAGGTATCGATGATGCTCTCCTGCTTCTTGGATATTGGCCAGTTGCTCGCATCGGTCTTCAGGAACTCCGGGCCCGTTATCCACGTCTCTTGTTGGGTTTGCCCGGTGACCTTGGTAGCTCCATCTGCTACGTTCAGCTTTGAAGGAATCCACCGCCATTGCTCGACCAGTGTTGTTTCCAGAATTTCGGCGACTCTGTGCATCACAAACTGATGAAAGTTGCGGGGGTCCATTGTTAGCCACTGCAGCACTGTCTTCGAGTCCGACCAGTATGTGGCGTTGTCAATTCGGAGGTTGCGTGTGCTCAGCACCTTTTGGGCTAAGCGTGCTCCCATAACTGCTGCCTGCAGCTCCATCCGCGGAATCGAAAGTGGTTTTAAAGGTGCCACCTTAGATTTCGCTATCACCAAAGATACGACGACTCTGTCATCCGTTGCCACGCGCAAGTAGCAGACTGCAGAATATGCTTGCTCGCTGGCGTCGACGAATGTATGGAGTCCAATTTGACATGGCTCCGATGTGGCTGTGGAAAAGCATCTAGGGACCTCGAAACTCCTTATGTCTTGCAAAATGGTTTTCCATTGGCGCCATTCTTCTAGAATTCTCTCAGGTAGCTCCTGATCCCATTCAATTTTTTGCCGCCATATGGACTGGAGGAGTATTTTTAGTCCGATCGTTTGGCATGATAAGAATCCCAATGGATCGAAGATCGACATCAAAACTTGTAATACTTCTCGCTTGGTAGGGACTGCGTTTTCCGCCAGCACATCACGCTTCAGCCTTGAAAATCTGCAGATAAATTTGAACATATCATTATGTGGGTCCCAGAACATGCCAAGTATCTTTTCTGTTGCACAAAAATCCACCGGCTTTTGGGTTTCAGCGTTGCCATTATCCTGCAAGCTTTTGAGTACTTCTTCCGAATTCGACGACCAGTTACGGATCTCAAATCCGCCTCTGCGATGTACTTCTATGACTTGTCTGGTGAATGGCCTCCTGCTCGTTCCTCATGCTATCGATGAAGTCGTCAACGTAGTGCGCCCTTTGGATGGCGTTTAAGGCCAATGGGAACTCTTCTTTGTGGGTTTCCGCGTTCTTATCTCGAACAAAGTGCGCTATAAACGGCGCGCAGCTTATCCCAAAAGTCATAGCTCGCATGACGTAGGTGACGTACTTTGTCGCTGCCTTTGTCATACCACAAAAATCGCTGCGCCTGCATATCCTCCTCGCGAATGTTGATCCTGTGAAACATTTCCGCAATATCACCGCAAATCGCTATTTTGTTGACCCGAAAGGCTAGCAAGACGTCTATGAGTGGGTTCAGGCAATCTGGTCCCCTGAGTAGGTAGTCATTTAGCGCGTATCCGTGTGCCTTTGCGGCTGCATCCCATACAAGCCTTATCTTTTTCGGCTTGTTTGGATTCAGCGCTATGAATATCGGCAGATACCATGTACGGCTGTTCTCCCGGCTGGTTTCTTCCTCGGATAGCTTAACCGCGTAGCCTTTGTCTAGGAGATTCCTGATTTGGACGTCAATCTTTTCGTACAGATCTGGTTCTTGAGAGACCTTTTTCCTCATGCAGGTAAGCCGCTTCAGAGCGTTACTCCGGCTCTCAGGGAGTTTGTCGATACCGCCGCGCCACGGAAGTCCAACTTCATATTTTCCGGACTTCTTTTGGCAGGTGCTTTCCAAAATTTTCACTGCCAGCTCATCTTCAGCTGAGTATAGCTTTCGTGGTATGAGCGCGTCCAGGTTGAAATGTTCCTTGATGTCATCATGGAGTTCTTGCCAGTCGCAGTCGCAGTGGTGCATGAAAATGGATCGTTGTGGGTTCGCCGATCCTTGGATGCTCCATCCTAGCATGCACTTCGATGCTATCGGCTCGTTCCATTTTCCTTCGCGGATCTTGCGTGGAACTGCTAGCTTCCAGTTGTTGGTTCCGATTAGCAAAGTCGGCTGGGCAGAGTAGGACCGTAGCGGCAAGTCTTTCAAATGCTGGAATCTGTCGCATAGCTCCTTCATGTTGACTGTCTGTCTCGGTAGTGCTAGGTTCTGAACGGTCTGGACGTTGTTCAACCAGTAAACCTTATCGCAGTTCATTTCCGAGATTTGGACGGATGCCTTTACGGATCCACTCTCGAGTCGAGTCGTCTCTGCGGTCCACTGCAAACACATTGGCGCTGCCTGGCCTTGTATTCCCAATCTTTGGAATACGGATGCATCTGCTAAGGTCACGGATGAACCTTCATCTAGAAAGGCGTAGATCTCAGTCTGCCTGCTGCCGTAATGCAGCTTGACTGGAATGATGCGAAAGAACTGACTTCCGTGATTGTCGTCTCGATGCGTACTCACGTGACTCTGTGGTCTGTCTTGACCGATTGTGTTGGAAACATATTCTGTATGAAGCAACTCATGGTGTCTCCTTGTACAGCCATTAATTCCGCAGTTCCCGGTTCGGCATCTGTTCCGGTGTACCTTGAGGCAGCAGAAACAGGCTTTACCCGCTCTGATTACCTGCCACCTGTGCTCCGCGTCAAGGTTCGAGAATACCTGACATTGTGCTGGGTTGTGACTCGGGTCGCCGCAAGCTACGCACCTCTGTTGAACTTGCTGCTGAGCTGCTTCCGTATGGATCGCGTTCGATCGTGTTTGTCCTCGTGCTGGTCCAGGCTCATCTGCCAGTCCCTTGTCCGGGCGGCGACTGTTGTGTGAATTAACTGCGCCCGTTTTGTAAAACGATGGCGCCACCACTAATGACGCTGCCTCTGCGATTTTATACAGCCAATCACTGAATGCCTTAACTGCGGCCACTCTATCGTCGCGGGGTTGCATTGCCCAGTTTAGCTTGTGTTGGTTAGGAAGCTTATCTACCAGCTCCTTGACCAACATTGGATTGTTGAGATGCGCCTTCAGATCGCACGCCTCCATAGTGGCAGACGTTTCGCACTGCCAGCGCGTACTCTATTAACGCCTCCAATCTGTCTTTGGGTGGTGCCAGTCTTCGCACCTTTTCCACCATTCTTTCTAGGATGTGCTCTGGTCTGCCGAAGAACATCTTCAAAGTGCTGATGACTTCTGGGACTAGGTTAGGAAGTAGGAGTTTATCTCTAACCAAGTCACGAGCTTTCCCTTTAAGCGACTTTTGCAGACGTAGCATGTTTTCCACATTCGTATATCCCGCTGCTGTCGTACTGTGTTCAAATGTGCTGATAAATAACGGCCAGTCCTCAGGATCCCCGCTGAATGTTGGAAGGTCCTTGGGTATAGCTTGCCGGGCCGCTATTTGAGTACTTGTAGGTGAATCTGTGGCTCGAAACATCCCAGCTACCGCTACGTCAGCGGGGTTCATCTGCATGAGAATTTTGTATTTTTCTTCTATGAACTTTGCCTCAGACTTTCTTTTCTCCTCGAGCATATCTAACAAGAGTTGGTTCTTGTTCGTGTCCGGATTTCCTTCCCGAACATTCATGTTCTCTCCGTTGCCGGCAGCATCGATTAACGTATCGACGGCTAGCGCTTTGCTGTGCGGTTCTGGGGTATCCATTGCGTCTTCACGTGTTTGAGACTGTACTGGTGATCTTTGCATACCGCTGAACGGTGCTATGTGGCTGCAACCCGCAAGACAGTAATCGCAACTCCAATCCTTGCTCTCAATGTCGTCCTCTACGCCGGCACACTCGAAATGGTACCACCTTCCGCAAACGTCGCACTGTACCCAATTTTCTGACGCCGTTTCGTTTTTATTCTCGCAAATTCTGCACACTTCAACGTTCATGCTTCGCGTCGTCCGGCGTGCTTGCAATATGGCGTCTGCTTTTCTTCTTCTTGGCTGCGTGCTTACTCGACCTAGCCTGTGGCTGCTAGGGACGCGACGCCTTACCTCTGCCTTTATCCGCAAGAGTTCTGGTTCTCCCCAAGAATAGCGTGCTCAACTCGACCTAGCCTTGGCTGCTAGGGACGCGACGCCTTCACTTTCGTTACTTCCAAAATTTGTCGCCTCCTGTCGGTCTAGCTGTTGTCTGCTAGCGACGCGACGCTGTTTTTCTGCCTTAGTCCGCAGGTAAGGAAGTTTTGGAGGAAGTTTTTTAGAAATGTTGAGGTCGGGGCGAGGTTGGTGCACGATTCTTTAAGCAAACATCGATTTGGTTGTTCTTTCCTTTATTCAAATCAAATGCTGGGCGCGCGAGCTAAAAAACTTCGTCGTTTTCCCTCGCCTCGTTAGCTTCACCTAGCGATCGCAAACGCCTCGTTCTTACGCCATTTTTTCATCTATCGATAAGCTTCCGTCTAGCATTTTTCAGAACTTATTCTAAACATTATTCAACACTAATATTAACGATTTAAACTTAAGTCTATGACGGCGGTAACAATCACCATCATCAATAATACCATTAACAATAACAAAACCTAACAAAAATAATATTAATATTAATCAACAACAACAACAACATAATAATATAAATAATAATAATACAACTGCAGTTAATTTCAAACGTATCAATGATGATATTCGTGAATTATACGGCAAAGACTTAAACTCGTGCATCACATTGATGCGCAATTTAACAATTAAATACAATAATAAACAATTAACGACAAATGACAAAGGACAATTATTACTTGAATTTATATATAATATGTCAATATGAAATTAAAAATCATGGCCCTTAATGTTAACGGTATTTACACAATTCGTAAACGTACCGAATTTGTAAATTTCTTAGCCAAACATAATCCACATGTAATTGCAATAGCCGAACATCATTTAAATCCCAATATCATAATCAATTCAAAAACCCATAATATAATATATCAAACAACAAATGCCATACGACCAAATTTAAATAATAACAATAACAATAACAATAACAATATAAATAACAAGAAAGGAAAGCTAACTTCGGGCGGAGCCGAAGTTTATATACCCTTGCAGTTAAAACCGGATATATATCGCAAACATCGGATATAGTTGGCCGATCCTTATCTGAATAGGAATATATAATCCAATTTATTACAATACAAAATCTAAAAAAAGTCCCAAACTTCTATCTTCGAAAATACGAAAGTTGATATTTCTACCAAATACCATTTCCGATCGTTCAGTTATATGGCAGCTATGAGATATAGTCGGCCGATCCTAATGAAATGCGGTAGGTTGGATTAACTGACAAAAAATAGAAAGCTGTATTAAATTCCAGCTTTCTATCTTCAAAAACACGAAAGTTGGGTCATTTCCGATCGTTCAGTTATATGGCAGCTATAGGATATAGTCGGCCGATCCTTATGAAATTTGGCATGACGTAATGTTTTGCCAAAAATAGCTCTAGTGTCAAATTTAAACTCTCTAACTCTAAA